TGTGAGATGGGGACCCCTGCCCTGACCCCCCCAGCACCACCCTCTGTACATCTCCCCAGCACCGACCTGACTCCAGAGCATTGCTCAGCTCTGGCTTCCACCCCGTTTCTCTTCCAAGAATAACCTTCTCTCTGGGCATGGTGCAGCCTCCTCCAGCCATCTCCACCCAGCAGCATCGTCTCTGGACACATCTCCATCCCCCCTCAATCCCAGACCCTGTCACCGCATGCACCCCCATCAACTGCTTGGGGATCCCCCCCCCATTGCGGGCTGGCTGATTTTTTCAGCTTCCAAGGACCGGGCCCAGGAACGAACCTCCCCCCCCCCCAGCAACGTCACCTCTCTGCTTGCACCAGCCCTCCCTCTGCCCGTGGGGTGTTTGCTCGCCCTCGGCCAGCCCCATCCCAGGCAGTGGGCCCAAGAGCAGCCCCTCAGAGAACAGCACTTTTAATCTCTGCTCTGAATTCTTTTTACAAGTCACAGCAATGCAGAAATGTACAGACATTTACAGGACACTGTACAGGTGGTTTCTGTCATATATTAGTGCTCTTGCTATATACATATAGTACAGCCTGCGGGAAGCCTCTGCACGGGCAACGAAACCTGCACCCCCGTGCAGGGCACCCCAAAATGGAGCTGTTGCCCCGGGGCTGCCGAGCCACACGGGCTCATTCAGGTCGATTTAACCAGAGCTCAGCCCTGAGCCTTCCCAGGCACTACTGGGGGGTGCCACCACCCAGGGCAGAGCTGGGCACCCTCTTGCTTTGCTCACCCCAGTCTCTTTTAGAGGGTTTTCTGGGAGAGAGACCCCTGCAGAGATACTCTGGAGGGAGCAGGAGCAGCCTCCACCGCGGCAGCGTTTCCACCTTCCTGCTCCTCCTTGGGGCAGCCGCAGCTCCCGGCCACCATGTCATCGTACTGCTTGAGGACCACGTTCTCATCATCATCAAAGTAGAGGAGGTTGATGGAGTAGAGCTTGTCGGGCACGCAGCAGGGGCTGCTGACGCCATCGCTCAGCTTGAGGGCGTTGATGATGGACTGCACCGTGGCATGGTTCGTCGGCCGCATGTTCTCACCCAGCGGGAAGGGGCAGGAGCCCTTGCAGTGGTAGGCGTTGTATCCCCGCGGTGAGATGATCCAGCCGGACCAGCCGATCTCCTCGAAGTCCACAGACAAGGGATGCCTCTGGCAGGGCTGGAGCCGGTCCAGTGAGCGTGTGCTGCGTGGCCCAGCCGGCTTGGGCACTGACATCTTAGCAGGGAGGAGGGGAGCCTGAGGCTGTAAATCTGCCAGAAAGGAACACCCGATGCCATTAACCAGTGCACGAGCCTGGGAG